TTACACTAAAAGGATGAAGTAAATGAAAAAAAGAATTCAGACTGATTTTGATACTAATGAATAGAACTCTTCTAAAAAATAATCTAAGAAATGTATGACCATATACTAATACAATTTATTTTATTCTAATGTGCTGCCTTTATGTAAGATGCGAAGTTTGATACTACAGTTACTAGATCTTCACAAACATGGATACTGAGATTTTCTTTAGTTGTGGCAAAAGAACCACATATGTTCTAATCCTGGCTGCTTTATAAGAGAAGACATTTAATCTTAGTACAATTTACCTTAAGTTAGAGTTATGGTTTGTGAACAGAATAAAACTAATTGGCCTGAAAATGTGTGTCACCATGCCCATGACTTCATTAGCAGTGTATACTATGCAGCTGAGCTAAACGTGTGGACATAGATGTAATAAAACAACTTTCAAAACACTTGATTGTATGAACAAAGAATATGAAGCACTGAAAAGTGGAACATGTAATTAATTTTGTCATCATTGCACTACAAGTGGACTCCAGTTAGCTAAAATGTGCTGACTATAATTGCACCAAAATGTCTTCAAAAAATGTTGAGGTTATAAATAATTAAAATATCTATTGCTTCCCTTTTCTCCCTCCAAGCACTCCCACATACCCTTCCTACCTTCCTTCAAATTCATGGCATGGTCTCATTTTAAATGAATAATTAAATCAGACATATAAACATACACACATACACATATTCCAAAACATAACTTGGTCAGTCTATATGTTACTTGTATATATATTTCCAGAGCTACCCATTTGGCACTAGACAACCAATTGGTATGTTTGTCCCTGGGGAAGGCCATCTCTCCCACTCCCAGCTTTCCTCAGTTGCCTCTAGTTCTGTGAGTAGGGTTGGGGCCTCAAAGGTTTTTCCCCTTGTGGTTCAGCACATTTGTTCGTTCCATTCTTGTTCAGCTCATGTTTGGGCAATCATGTTGGTGTAACTGTATGAGTGTACCTTCTGATGTTACTTGGAAACATAGTCTCACAGCAAGCTCCCTGGCCATCTGGCTCTTAGAATCTTTTCACTTCATCTTGCACAATGTTCCTTGAGCCCTAGGTGCCAGAGTGTTTTTAGATGTGCCCACTGGGACTAGGTTCCACAACTCCACATTTTGTTTGGTTGTGTTTTTATTTGTAGTGGTCTCCACCTGGTGCAATGAAAAATTTCTTTGATGATGGGTGAAGACTATACTTATCTGTGAGTAATAAGTCTCTAATTGTACTTAAGGACCTACTCAACAAGAGGGAAATCACTCCTGGTACTTGAAACTCTGCTAACTACTCAATGTTAGTGAAGTCACATTTATTGGGAAAGAATCTATAACCACTAATTTAATAAAATATTATAATCCCTACAGGAATCTGTAAACATTGTCCTCATACCCAAAATGTCTTTTTAAATTTTTATTTTATTTTATTCTTTTATTTTTATTTATGTTGGTAACTGAGGCTATTTTATTGTTATTGAAAAAAATTTAATCACAAACTTTTAAAAGGGAGGACTGTGCTTTTTCTAGACATATGTGCATTTATAACTTTCTTAGCAAATGTGTTAAACTTGTGCTTTATAGTATTTTCATATCCAATGAGGGCTTTATATGAAAGAGAGGAAATTCATTGTTCATTATGGTGAGTAGATGGAGAAAACTGTATAGACCTGCCCCCTCTCTTCTCCATGTTTGGGAGCAAATACACTGGAACTATAATGGACACCTACTTGGCAAGCTTTCTCATGGAATGACTGTGAAAATGCTCTGTACAAAGCTGAAGTGCCCATAATATAATCAAATATAATTTAAACAAAGCCAGGTGCAGAAAGGTGTACAAAATTAAGAGACAAGACAGAATATTAGGGGGACAACAATTTACTATATATGTATAGATAAATAGGTGAAATGGATTGATGATAGATTTTATATATATGATAGATCGATATATTATTTATATGCCTATATATACATATATATGCCAACAGATAGATAAGTGATAGACAAACAGACAGACAGGTAGATAGATAGTAGATAGAACTGTTGTTGGTAGCGACCAAAGCCTGGACCTTATATTTTTTAGAAAAGGGTTGTACTACTGAGCTATGTCTCTAACATTAAAGTTTATGCTTATTGTTCTACAACTTAAAAATGATTTTAACAGTTAGTCTTCCAAAAAAACAATTTCAAGTATAATTATTCAAGCTTAAAGATGAGAAAATTCAAAAAGGGCAGCCAATATTTTAAGATGGCTCTATCACTAACAATGAAATTGTAAAATCAAGAACATATTTGAATGACATGATTAATATTAAAAGAATATTGTTAGAACATTATATTTTTGAGGTATGATTTTAATAAGAGGATTTTCTTTGTCTTAAATGATAACATATCATACAAGGGGTGAAAAAAATCAATAAAATATATAAGCAAAATTTGAAAAATATTTTGAAAAAGAAGTTAAAGTAGGAATAAGTGTTGGAAATTTGTACACCAAGCATTGTAAATATGGACAAGGGGTTGATTCCTTTCCTCAATATTCAGCCGTGAATTCAATCACTGTCCAATTCCACCTTTAACACAGTACTTCCTACCCAAACCATGGGAATCTATTTAGTTTTTCATCTGGTATTAGAATTGGGGAGACAAGCCCCTTTTCTATGGCTTTTTCTCACTAATATACAGAATAAATGACTAGAAATATCTAGTTCATAACTTGCGTCACAAAAGAAGTCCACACCCACACTGGTTTCATATACCTCTCCATGTGGAAGAAATTTGTTTTTTCTTCACTCATCCCCCTTTCTGATTTGTCTAACTCTCCCCCATGGTTCACTTGACACCATATATAAAAGTTCCTTTTTTTCAAACATTGATTTTCAATAATGTCCCTTAAACGCACATGTGCTTGCTCCCTTCCATAACTTCTTTTAGCAATATTGTGTTCTTATTCTAAGCTCATATAACAACACTTCGTGGATTTCCCTAAGGGCATCTTTGCCTGTTATGGTTATTGTTTATATTTAGAAATTGAGTAATCCTAAGAACTGGGTCAAGTTGACAAGAAGTGGGTGGACTTTTGATTGCTTACTTTTATTTGTCATCCTGACCAGATATCGAATCAACTATATTCAAGTTGCTTAGTTCTCTGTGATTTTTATGATCAAATTACTGGAAGTAGGAAGACCTATCCTAAACCTGCATGGACAACTGTTTTTAGAGGGAGCCCAGGTAAAAAGAAGACACATTTTTGCTTTTTGCCAGTTTGCCTTCAATCTCACTGACAAGTTCATCTACCCTGTTACTGCTCCTGCTCGATTCTTTTAATGATATTAGTACTCAGCTTAGGGTTCCAATGGGATTGAAGACTAACTCCTCTCATGGAATCCTTTTTGTCTTCAGTTCCAGAATGATACTAATGAGAAATCAAGACACTTAGACTGAGAAACTACTGGATTCTTGACCTCTCAGATATAAGACAGCCATTGTTTGACAACCCATATTGTAGTTTTGGAAGCCAATCTAATACAGCTCTTTTAATAAATATCCACTCTGTTGTTGTTTTTTTTTCCTTGAGAGAGTCAACACTAATACAGATTGTAGCAGATAAAAAGGAAGAAATAAAAAAACTTTCTTGCATGTCTATGCAATGTAACAAGACTCTGGCTCCTGATATTTGTAAATAATCTATAGTTGGGTATTAAGCTTTGTCTGAGAAATTTTCCTTCCAGGTAAAGGTGAATGATTTCAAAGAGTACCATGAAAGCAACACTGATTACTTAGGTAAAGGCTAGAAAATAAGGAAAATGATTTATTTCAATAACCAACTTTATAGCTATTAATTTTCTTCCTTTTTCCCAATGAAATCAGTTGGTGTTGATAGCCTGACACTTTTTCTACTCTTTTAACTTGTCCATGAAGAAAAATAAAAGAGATTAAATAATAAAGGTCATTTTTTAAATCTGGTTGATTTTGTATCTTGATAATGAAATTAATTCTATTTTGCAAAACCCAAAAAAGGCAGACTCAGGCCTAATCTAAGTATTAAATATAATGTACTTGTCATGAAGGAGTTAAAATTACTATTCACAGGATACATTGTGTTTAAAAAAGTAAAGATACCAAACTGCTTCAGTTAGTATGTTTTAAACACAGAAATATATCTTAAGGCCAATTAAACATAAAATAGATGATCATCACAAGGTAATCTTGTTTACAATACAAATAATTAAGCCACTTTCCCCTAGAAAATGTAGTTAGGAGACCTTAAAAATTAAAACAGCATTTGGTATTCTTTGCCTTGCTTATTTTTCTGTAGAGAGCCTATCAGTTAAAATGATGAATTTTAACCTTTTCCATTTCTCCCAGACAAGATATAATTCATATTCTTCAGGCTTGTTGCAGCTGGCTCCTCATACTGATGAAGAAATTATTGTTTTTATAATATTTACTAAGGCCGAGTTACTGAACTTTCTTCAAGGACATTTACTTTACTTTTAATTTGTAAAACTCTGAAAATCTTTTGGAAATAAATGGTGGGAAGAAAAATGCATTAAATTATACAGCTAATTGTGTAGTTTAATGAATTTGAATTAAGTCATAATATATTATACTCAATACAATGTATGTGATGAATAAGAAATTAAAAGGTCATGGTGTCTAAGAATAGTAGGATCGAGAACTAGAATGCTAATGGATCAAAAATGTCCTGCATGAAAATGTCTTTTTGCTCTGTGTCCCAATTTTGTTCTTTTCAAAATGATTATTCTCAAAACTGTTCAATAAACTCAGTTTATTCAACTGATTTTTTAGTGTTCTGTGACTCCAAGAAAGTACCGCATTATGCTACATGTTGAAATCTGCTATTTTCAGAAATAATTAGTTAAATAATAATGTTCTGAACATTAATTATCTGAAAATACACACAAAACCCTGTAATTAAGAACAACTTCTTGACTTTTTTTTTTTTTTTTTTTTACAGTGACAGGCATTGAAAGATACGTCTTAGAAAATGTTGACTCATCCGTCATAAAGTACTGCAGTGAAGTGGCTCTCCATGAACAGTAACCTACAAAGATATGTGTACACTTTGTATACTTGAAGTTAATCTATATGACTTCCAGTCACTTCCAGTCTAAGGGGTTGAGGCAGAAATATTACTGCTGTGTTTGAATGTGAAATGCCCCCCTATATGCCTATGGGTTTGCATGGTTGGCCACCAGCTACTGGCACTGTCTGTACAGCTAGTGGAAGCTTTAGGAGGTGGAGTCTTAATGAGGAAATGGATCACTATGGTGGCCTTCAAAGTTTTACAGATTGTCCTCACTTTCTCTTTATGCTTGCTTCTTGACTATGCAGTAGTGTGACCAGCAGTCTCCATTTCCTGTTGACATGCGCTTCCACTTTAGACTGGTTCTTCTCTAGTTCTCATCTAAATTCATTCCTTCTTCTCTTAAGATGTTCCTTGTCGGACATTTTGTCACAACACTGCAAACAGTACCATATAAGACTTTCAAAAGTCTTTGCCCTAGGATCTGTGTGGATGATATGTATATTAATTGGACCAAATTATGATATTTGTATTATTTTTCTAAATCTCTCTGTTACCTGATTGTCATAAAAAGACTAAATGTTGTTTAAAATAAAATTATGAACAAAATTTTATGATGCAAATTTATAAATTGTGAAAACGAGTTGTGAAATTTCAAATTATTCTAACTTTAATATTAAATATTAACTACTTATGGTTGAGAGCAAGAAAAGAGCCATGATGGAAAAACAGCATACAAGATATTTTTCTCTTTGCTATTGGCAAAATATGTTCATTAAGTTTACAAATGAATATAAAATCTTCAATGAAATTTCCTTTCCTCATGTAAACAGTTACTTTCACAAGAAATATTTATAATAACTTACATTTGAACCTCATTAAAGTTTGATCTCAACCTTTCTGTCACTGATATTTCAGAGTTAGTGATTCAAGTGAAAGCCAATTTAAAACTCTAACACTCTTCAGGAAGTGATTAATGGGCAAAGAGCATGTTTAGCTATAGCAGGTCAAACTTGTGCTCTTTACCCATGGCACTTAAGAATGCCTTTAATATACTAACATGCAAATGTCAGGTACAGGGGATTACCAAAACTTATCTTTGTCCAAATATTTGGTACCATAAGCAGTATAGCTCAGGGTTTGAACACTTTGGGGATCCATGTAGTACCCCTGCTTACTTTTGTCATGATTCTACTGATGATATGAATAAAAGTAGAAGAGATGTTGGAGCGAGGGCTCACTAGATGAAGTACTTGTTGTACGAGTGTGAGGACTTGAATTCAGATTCCCAGCATCCACTTGAAAAGTAAGTATGGTGGTGTGCATCTGAAGGCTCCACCTGGGGCAGGGGTGTGAAGACAGGTAGATCCCAGAGGTTCACTAGTCAGTCTGTCCAATCATGGACCTCCATTTTAGTGAGAGACATTTCCAAAAAAAGGAGTGCAATAACAATAGACACACAAAGGATAGAGGAAGACACACAAAGTCAATCACTGTCACACAGCACACATAAACAATACATACACACATACACAATTCTAACAGTAAGTTGGAAGTCTCTCATCTTAACTATCTGTTAGTGTCCTCTCTAAGGTAATGGTGATGGTGTTGTAGAGAAAAAGAAGCTGTGGATAAATTCTGCCTTTCATTCAATTTATCCAGCAGACACTGCTGGAAGTTTGTATATTATGTGTTATATTTTTCATCATTACCTTTCTACATCTTATTGGCTATTTTAGAATTTGTGAATAAACAGGAACATATCTGTGTCACATTAATTTCCAGCATGGAAGTTTGACTTGAACATTAGGTACTTATATTGCTTTACTAATGTATACCTTGCATTTAGGGTTATTACCATAAGTGTAAATTAAATTAAATTAGAGGAGTGTTGTCATAGTGTTTCAAAAGAAGCATGTGCACCTAATTCATCAAGATCTGCCTTTGCTTCTCTAGGGGTGAATGTGATGAAGAATCAAAGGGAAAACAATACCTGATCAGATGATGCATACTCTAGTGTCTGTGCCTGCCTGGTATTCCTTTTGTTGTTATTGTTTCTTTTTTTTTTTTTGCTAAATTAATCAAGGATTTATTTTTAAAATATCTATATCATTTATAGAATCAAAAGTCCATAGTTCCATAGTAATTTCAAGTTTCAAAATTGATTAAATATTTTTAATTCATTTATTTACTATCTATCCCAGCCAGAGTTTCCCTTCCCTCCTCTCCTCCCAGTCTCTCCCTCCCCCCATCTCCCTGTTTTCCCACCCCCCAATCCACTCCTCCTCTGTTTTTGTTCAGGAAATGGTAGGTCTCCCATGGATATCAACAAAACATGGCATATCAAGTTGCAGTAAGACTAAGTACCTCCCCATGAATTAAGGCTAGGAAAGGCAACCCAGTATGAGTAACAGGGTCCCAGATGCCTGTAAAAGAGTTAGAAATAGCCTCTGCTCCCACTGTTAGGGGTACCACTATTAGGTGTCACATATATGTAGAGAACTTAGGTCAGTCCCATGCAGGCTTGCTGGTTGTTGGTTCAGTTTCTGTGAATCTCTATGAGCCCAGGTTAGTTGATTCTGAGTTTTTTTTTTCATAGTATTCTTCACCCTGATGGATTCTACAATCCATTCTCCCCTCTTAGTCAGGATTCCCTGAGCTCCACCTAATGTTTGGCTGTGGGTCTGTATCTGTTTGCATCAGTTGCTCCATGAAGCCTCTCGGATGACAGTTGGGCTAGGCACCAATCTATGAGTATAGCAGAATATCATTAGGCATCGTTGCACTGACATTTTTTTTTTTCTCAAGTAGAAACAATGGCTTTCCTTAAACGTGCTGCTCCACTTTTAGTTAACATGCTTTCAGCATGTCATCTGTACCTGGCAAGATAACATCAGGGCTTTGATGATCACATTCTGAGATGGTATCCCTT